GGCGAGGCCATATCCGCCCGCGGCAGCCCGCGGCAGGGCTCAACGTTTGGAAATCCACCTGACATAGAATAAAAATTGAGAAAAAAAACAGGAGGAAGGGAGGAGAAACCGAGGCTTTGCTCTACAACCCGAGGCCCGCTCAGAGTCTCCACTGGGAGGTGATGGGTGGACCACGAGACCCGGGGATGGGCGGGAGCACGGGCAGCACCCTCGCCCGCCCGGGGCTGCTCTTGAGCTCCGTGCCAGGCCGCCTGTCTGCGATAGGCAAAATTGTTGTGCAAAAGCCAGCGGTCCAGGAGAGGCTGTATGAAATAGCTGTGACTGGCGCTACCTCCAGAGCTCAGAATACTGCTCCATCCATGATCACGTGGAAAAAACTGGGCTCTTTGATATTAACTGTGAGGTTATTTTGGTGTCTGAAGTTGCAGGGAAGAGCTCGGCATGTGGCCGTGGCCAACTCGGACAAGCTGATGAGGTGGGCCGGGCTGAGCCCACACCAGGTGACGTGACAGGGGTGACACAGCTGCTTGGTCCTTGCTGGGGTCAGAGATCTCTCAGCCAAGCAGTCTGCATCGCTATGATAGAGGAAGTCAAGCTTCAACCATCACTGAATCATTTCTGCTGCCAGGAAGAAAAGGGTACTGCAGAGCAGGCTCTCAGAGCTCCTTTATGCCTGCCATCCTGCCCCAGGCAGGGGTGGCTCCGTGCATGGCTCAGCCTCACCATCTGCCTGAGCTTCCCGACTCCGGCTGACAACAACACAGGCACCTGTGGATCTAGGCTGGTGCCTTCTGAGAGGACAAAACCCTGTAGTGTGAGTCAACTATGCTGGGAAGGTCATTGGCAGTGGATGAGGACAGAAATCCTTTGTGCTGCTGCAGCACATGGCATAATGGCTTGTGTTGCCTGTCTGCAGGTCTGCTGTCCTGGTCCTGGGTGCATCAGAGTTCCAGGGACCAGGACACTGTCCCTGGCTGGCTGTGGCTCCTGGAGCAGACAGGTCACACGTCCCCATGCCAGGGACACCTTTGTGGTTCAGTTCCTTTACACTCCAGTTTGCCAGCAGCCCTGAAGCTGATAATGTCCCACAGTCGTCTCACTAATGTTAACGGCAATGTAACCTCTGGGACAGAGTATTCCCTGGGCTTTGCCAGGTCCCCAAAGAAATGCTCATGATGATCAAAGACACCGTGGACAGATGGCAGGCTTGGGAGTTTTGCAAAGGCAGTATAATAGCAATGTGTTATCTGTCACCAGCTTGCCTTTGGGGTCTTAGCTAGGGTGGCTATGCTGGCACATGGGGACAGCAGACAGCTAGGGTTGTGCAAGGATGAGGAGCGAGCACAGAGGAGCAAGGCAAGCTCCTACTCTGGGCAGAAAGGCTTCTCGCCTTCAAGAGGGCACTATGTGCTACAGTATGGGCAGCTGGCTGTGATGCCAACATCACCAGGATGGGCCACTGGCTGCTAGGCAGGGCTGGCTCTGCTGCTTGCACTGTGGTAAAGCAGCTGCCGTTGAAGCTGTGCTGTTAGAGCTGTGCTGTGGAGCACTGACATTGCCATGGAAACCTAGCCCTGTGGACTGATGTGGGTTCTTCACCTTGGCTTCTCTGGTCACTAAACAGGGACACCTGGCAGCTGCAAGGGCACGTCCTGGGACAGAGGTCCTGCAGCTGCTGAGTGGGTGGGACCAGAGGGGCTAGCAGTTGTGGCAGCACTGGGTGGAGCTGCAGGTCAGGGTTCATGGTGGGCAGCCATCAAAGAGAGCTAAGCCCATAGAGAATAGCATGGCCAGTTGGCATTTGGCATGAAAAACCCCAGGGGGAGGCAGTCCAATGCCATGGGACGGAGTCCCATTGTGGTCCCATTGCAGTTTGGCTCTGCTGTTGCCTGTCCCAGGTGTTCCGTAGCATCCTTGTCCTTGGCAGCATGGCACAGCAGGGCATGCTGCCTGCTGCTGGCATCTTCTCCACCATCTCCATCTGCCCCATAGTGAGAGGTCTGCTGCCATGCCAGGCTGGTGCCCCTAGGCCATGCCCATGCTGCATGCCACATGCTGTGGCGCTTCAGGACACAGGGCATAGGCTGAGAGGGGCTGTGGGACTCCCCACACTGGGCAGTACTGAGGGGCCATGATGGAGTCCGACACAGGGGCTGGAGCATAGTGCTGAGCAACGTGGCGTGTGCCAATGGCACCGCAGCTGCAGGGGCCTCGGGAGAGCAGAGCGGAGCTCCCCACAGAGGCTTCCCGGCGCAGCTACCCCCGGCTTGGGACCTGGCCCTGATGCTGCTGCCTGCACACCGCCTGGAGGCAATTCAGGCCCCATGTCTGGTTTCCATGGCAACTTCAGTTGAAATTGCATTAAAAAGAAATTAAACCAGCAGCTTTTCTGGTTGGCAAGCAGGGGGAGGGGAGCTAGGCTGGGAAAGGCAGAG